CGGGGTACGGGGATCTCACGGTGGTGCCGGAATATACTGGGAGTGCGGGGATATGTCGGAGGTGCGGGGGCACCCTGGGAGTGCGGGGACATCCCGGGGGTGCGGGGACTTCCCGGGATACGGGGACATCCCGGGGGTGCGGGGACTTCCCGGGATACGGGGACATCCTTGGGGGTGCAGGGACATCCTTGGGGGTGCGGGGACATCTCGGGGGTGCAGGGACATCCCGGGGGTGCGGGGACATCCTTGGGGGTGCAGGGACATCCCAGTGGTGCCACCCCCTGGTGCGGGATGATCGTGGTGTCCAGGGACATCCCGGGGGTGTCACCCGCTGGTGCGGGATCGTCGTGGCATGCGGGGACATCCCCGGTGTCCTGAGAGCTCCCGGGGGTGTCCCCCGCTGGTGCGGGATCATCCTGGTGGTCCCGGTGGTGCCACCCGGTGCTGACCCGGCGAGGGGAGAGCAGGAGTGTTTGCCAGAAATAAAAAGTTTGTTGAGTCGGCCCCCATCATCAGCTCCTTAGTCTCACTTTCGGTTTAATCCTGTTTGTCTCCACTTCAGTTTAACCCCGTTTTCCCCAGTGTCAGTTTAACCCTGTTCTTCTTGAGTTCTCACCCCGGGGAGGGAATATGTATATATTTACTTATAATCTTGTTTATTTACTTATGTACTTATGCTGTTTATAAACTTGCCCAGTGAAAAGCACATTCTCTCAGGACTTCCCATGAAAATTACGGTTTGCCTTTTAAAAAGTATCAAATCTTTAACTGTTTGGGTTTTTTTCCTTGTTGTACTCTCTATGTACTTTTATTCACATCAGAGAAGTTGAACTTTGTGTTAGTGTGCACAGGTAGGATTTTAGTGCAAGGTGAAGCAACTCCATTAACTTTGGCAAAGTATTTAATTAATCCCTGTCGTAATTTAGCAGGTCCAACTCGTTTATTCCATATTTTTATAAAGTCACTCATGTACAGTCAATGTCTACAACCATAAATTTGTGCCAAACCACACATGCTGGGGTATTGTTGGCTTGGTCCTTCCAGATGATATTCATGTGCTGGAGTCTGCAACAGTCCATATGTTTGGGATGGCAGTGAGTGACAGGGCAGCTGAGATGGTAAAATCAGTCAAACCCACCATTCTTTGTGCTTCTCCTTATGTGCTTTGGTAGGGAACTACCATCAAGGGTTGTCCTTTTGGTACAGCTAAATATGTGTATAAAAAATCTGTTTGAGGGTGGTAGGAAAGGTTGCTGTGGATTTTCTCAGCAGGAGTGTTGAGGCTGGAGCTGATGTGACTGCGAAGTTTCCCTGATGTTAAACTCGTTTCCCTTCTGTGACTTTCAGCTTCAGGAAGAGACAGAAATGTGGAAAATAAGGGAGTGGGAGAAGCAGACAGAAGAGACCTACTGGAAAAGGCAAAGCAGAATGCTGTCAGACACCTCCAGGTGAGACACACCACAGACAGAGTTATTCTCTCCTTAACCAGTCCCTGGAAAGAGCTCAGGCCTGTCCTTAAGTCCAACCATTTATGCCTTCATCTCGCTGTGTAATCTTCAAGGTTATTAGTGACTTAGCTGGGTTCTGGGGGGCTCTGGGGGTGGTTTCTCCCTCAGGGCTGGGCTGAAGGACCCTGTTCTCTCACCCCCAGCAGTCGGATGCGCAGCGATGGCTTCGATGAGGAGGGACACAGGGCTGAGTGGAAAACAAGGAACCCACAGTTCCTTGACCTGGTGGAAGATGATCTCCTCAGGGCCCGATCCTGGAATAAAAAGCTCTATGAATGTGAAGCCAACATGCCAGACAGGTCTGTGGGGAGATTCATGTTCTGGGATTATAACTGTAATTAAAATACCTTTTTGGAGTCCTGTATACATTTTTCTGTTCAATGTGTACTCCTATAAAATAATGCTGGGGTTCACCTTGAGAATGAATAAGTGACATGTACAAACTTCTGCAGTGTCACACAACACCTAATTTGAGTTTCTAAGCCACAGTAAGCAGCAAAAGCTCAGCCCTAAGCTTAATATTTATTACTTTGCCCAAGGAGCTTAAAAGAATCTCAAGAAACACAAACTAGTGCTCTCCAGGGTTGTTCCAAAGAAATTTGAGTTGTAGTTTTCTCTAACTATAAATGGAAAAGCGACTGAGAACTTGAGGTACATTTAACTAGCACCAACCAAATCAGCCATATTTCCTTCCTTCCTGTCTAAACTCATGTCCTTTCTGTGGCTCTGGCTTTTCAGAACTATATTTTTGTCCTCAAACACCTTGCCTGTTTCTGACAGATGGTTCTGCTTTCTTACAGGTGGGGGCACAGTGGGTATAAAGAGCTGTACCCTGAAGAATTTGATACAGACAGGTAAGGCAAGCAGCTTTACTGATGGATCCAGAATCCTCCTTCTGTCAAGTGAGGCAGGGAATTTTACAGTTCCCTGAGTTTTAAATTTTGGATATAGATCAGCCTTGAATGTAAAGCCTTACTGTTACATGAAAAAAAAAAATCAATTAATGTGGTGCAAGTCTTAGGAGGGGATCAAATCTTTTACAGTAATTAGACATTGAGGTTTAGCTGGAGTTACTAAAACCTGTGAATCTGGAAGGTAAATAAATCCTTGCAGTGTCCTGGGGAGTGGAGACTTAACTGAAAAATAAGATCTTAGACAGAATTTAATTATTTTTAACCTGCACCCAGCAGGATCATCAACAGTGAACACCCTCCTGTTCTTTTTGCAGTGACCAGCAAGAAGGAGATGAGCAAAACGCTGTCAATGGGAAGAAGAAATCCCACCTGGGGAAGCAAGCTGCCCGTGAGTCCCACAAGAGGAAAAAAACAAAGAAATCCCACAAGAAGAAGCAGAAAAAGCGCTCCCACAAAAAAAGGAAGAAAAAGAAAAAGGAGCAGGGGAAAACTTCCACAGATTCCTCCCGGGAGAGCGAGTGCTCGGCAGAGGAGACTCCAAGCACCCGGAAAGGAAAACACAAGCGCAAGAAAAAGACCAGGAAAGTGCCTGCCAAGGAACCTACCTCTTCTTCTGGGCAGGACAGTGACTTTTCCCATGCAAGCAGCTCATGCACCAGCAGCTCTGAGGACAGTGAGTCTGAGGGGAGGAAAGAGAAACGGCCCCCAAGGAAGAGGAAGAAACGTCCCAGCTCCGCGTCGGAGAGGCAGAGTGAAGTGCCAGAGAAGAGGAGCAAGAGGAAGAACTGGAAGGTGGCGGGTGATGAGAAGTCTGAGGACAGCTCAGATGAGGACTGACGGGTCTGGGCTGCAGCTCAAACTGTGAGGGGGAGGACAGGGCCAGGTATTTATTGTCCAGCACTGCCCCATGGTACAACTTGTCCCAGCACTGTGGTTTGTGCACATCTGGCCGGCCCACGGGGAGGAGCTGAGCCTTGGCAGCCTGCAGGAGATGCTCCCTTGCTTCCCAGGGACTTGGCATTCGGAAATCCAGGAGAGCAGTTACCTGTCTGACAAGTAACCTTGTCCTGCCAACTTCAGATTCTTTCTCTGTGGCCAGGTTGACCTCTGATGCCCAAAAACATCACATGCTCTCTGCAGGGGGGAGGCAGGCACGTTTGCACCCTTTTTGGTTGTTTGTTTTTTTTTAAATTAAGTTTTAACAGATTGCTTTTCTGGGTTACCTAAATAATGGCCAGGACTGGCAGCAGGAGAGAGGACAGACAAGAAGTCTGGCACCAGAGGAAATGCCACTGGATTTAACCCCACAGTAGCTTTGTCTTCCCATCCTCCACCAAAAGCACACCTGTGGGGGCATGCACAGGGTTAGCTGGACACAGCAGGGAGCTGAGGGAATACTCTAATTCCAGCTGAAGGTGCAGTGACTAATTCCATAAAGGTGAAGAAAAGACACCAGTGCATTTGCTCTGTTCAGACTCCTCTCCCAACCCTGCTGTGGGCTGGCCATTGTGTCTACCTTCCTTCACTCTCTCTGGGGATGCTGAAACCATTTGTGCTGACAGAGAGGCCTTGGTGGGTGTTGTGCTCTGTCTCTGGTCTGCCCAGTGTGTTACTGGAGAAACTGGTACTGGGCCTTTCTCCCTGCAGTGAACAGCCAAGCCTTTTAATAAAATGAATAAACCCAGACGTGTCTGATGCTTTTGTCAGTGTTTTGGAGTAAAGCCCGGGGACAGAGCTGGGAAATCTGGGTGGTGCTTGTGCTCTCCCTTTGTTTGTGCCTGACCAGACTTGGAGGAGATGAAATAAGGGAAGGAGCCAGCGGGGATATGCACTGTGTGGTGTGATTGTTGTGGGCACAGCCTGAACAAGCACAGACTGCACAAACTCTGCTCAGTCCTGCAGTAACAGTGCAGCTGCTCTAGCACACACAGATGTTCACAGAGGTGATTATTTTGCACAGCTTCCCTTGTGCAGAGGTGTTTCATTGGTGAGGAGTGCCTGGCTCTGGTGGTGTGCCAGGTAAGACAGGATTAATCACACAGAATCACAGACTGGTTTGGGTTAGAAGGGACCTTAAAGACCATTTAATTCCACCCCTCTGCCATGGGCAGGGACACCTTCTATTGACCAGGGACACCTTCCACAGACCAGGGACACCT